TAGTCTTTGTTGTTTCGGTAAACGAAAGCAAGGCTGTCTCAAAAGTATCTTCTGTGACCAACTTTTGGGTCCAAAGAAGATCCCTTTAATGAACATCCCCCCCCCCAAATGGCATAGAAGCTGCAGCACCGTTATTCGACAGAAAAATGGGAAAGTGCACTTTTTAAGCAAATAACCGACAGGGGATGTCATATAATATAGACCACTAGAAAGTTGCATCGAACATGATACTGTTTTTCCTCCAAAAGTGAACAGGGACTTTTAATACATAAAAAATGCGTGATTTGGGGCTCTCATTTAAGCTCCATACACAAATAAGGGAGGTTCTTTTACGAGCGAGGCCCAACGATTTCTCTTGGAAAATACAACCCACACACTTGCCTGCGCTCTCGCATTTAGTCCGAATACGTAAGAGTAAATTTGCAAATCTTAAGCTTCCTTGTCAGGATTTTTGCTGTTCGTTTATTTGTGTTTTTTGTTTGTTCGTTTGTTGTTTGCATAAAAAAGGGGACAAAAGTTTGTGCTGTGTGTTTCTTTCTCTTCCTCAAGTGTGCTGAACTCCCCCCCCCCGCATTTTTTTTTAGTATAACACTTTAAAGGCCATACCGGGGAAATTTTGTTAGCGATGCGCCTTTGGTTTTCAAATGAGGATCAGGCGCCAGTAATGAGCTTCCACTGCGGTGGTATTGCGCAGCCATCCAATAAAGCGTTTTAACTTTCCTAAATGCACACGCGTGTCAAGTTTAAGCACGCGCACGTAGGTGTGACGCCTTCATTGTAATGGCGTCTCCCCAGATTAGTCTGTTGCAAAATCGAATTGCCTCCATGCATTTAGTAAATTAAGCCAGTGTTGTTGGAGGTCTAGGTGTCAGGGGTTTAGATTCGATGAATTCTTTTATTCTGCTTTTACGTTCCCCAAGATATGAATTATCTTCCGTTTATTGCAATAATTAAATCCTGCTCATCTTTGAAATATAATTCATCTTTTAGAGGGATTCATATGGCTCTGGGAAAGATATTAAGAAAGGTTCAGTCTTAGATTCATCCTGTTAACCACATAGGCATGAGAGCTTATACTCTCGGTAACTTTATTTCGATCACCGAAATCAGAGACTTTCCGAATTGGACTGATACTTTTTTCATCCTCTGGTCCGGCCCCACGGATCGTTCCGGTTCGACGTCGGTACGGGGACCAACATCAAACAAGGACGCAAACTTGGACGGCAGTTTCATGCCTTTACTCGTGGGTAGCAGTCCTCAGTAATTGTGTCTTGTTAATTGATAGCCGTAGCCGCCGAAGGCAATTTATTTAATCGCAGTCGCGAAACAATAAAGCTTTGACATTGCTGGCTGCAACTCTTTCATTTGCGCTTGAGAAACTACTCCGTTTTGTGCCGGAGAGCGGGAGCAGGAAGTGTAAAATTAAACCTGGCTGGTTACGGGGGTATTATGTATGGGAATTGAGATGGGAATTGTCAATTAGACACCCACTGCGGCATTAAGAGTGACAACCAGAGGTGCATAATAGGATAACTTATTTTTAAATGGCTCAGAAAACTGCGAGAATGCATCCATTTTTAATGTTGACAAGCATGACTGTTGAATATGGACGTGCGTGACAAGCTCCTATCCGTTAAAGAGCCATGAACTTTAAGAAGACCTTTACTGGTTAATGCAAATGGCGTTTCTGCCTTTTGGTTGTTAATTATGCCATGAACTTTAAGAGGACCTTTACTTGTTAGTCTGGTTTTTTCCCATCCAATTTCGCAGAGTTCACGCATGTGCGTAGCGTTCATTCATATCCAATTGGATTCTACAGTTTTTCTTTGCAGTGTTCTGAGGGCTGATTTCGAACATTTACCATTTTATTTCACTTTGCTGGTGTAATGTCATCGTAGAGCTAACCCAAGTTGGGTTTCGTTAATCGTTGTATTAGGCATAGGCCTATACAAAAATCAATTTAGAAGAATTGTAAGTTGCAAAATATATTACTGCTTTTACATGGAAATGTAGACAGAATAACGCAAAAATTCAGGTCAAAATCATCCTGCTACCATAAATTTGTAATACCTTCAGATAGTCATGTGACTTTATTTTCCTTTTAGGTTGATACAGTATAGTCTTTAACATTAAGAACGCCTGTTGCTCTTGAACCTTACATTTGATCAAATCCTCCAAGAGCCAGCGCTGACTACATCAGTCAAACGTCAACGTCATATGACAGTAAGATTTAAGCCCTTAATTTGTTCTCTCGCTAGGCAACAAGGGAGGGGGGTATGTTTACGCTTGGGGGGGTACAGTCTTGTATCTTCGATGATGGGACGGGTTAGTTCTTGTAGATCTCCAAACGTGGAGGTTAAAGGGTAGCGGCAATGAAATTTTCTAAATGTCAGCCTGAAAATGCACCTTAGTTGTGTCTCAATTAATCTCCTTTGCAGTTTTTGTGTACCAATTCAAATGGGGTTTCTGCCTTTTAATTGTTATGCAGAGAATTTCCAAAGCTGTAATTCACCTGAGGAAGAAAATCTCTAATTTAGGCATACATTGGTTTGTGCACAAAAAAACGCTTGCAATTTTAAAGATTTCGATGGCCTGAATGTTCTCTCCTTTGGTGATCCATTGCTTTGCAAGTACATAACAAGAAACAAATAAAAAAACAATCAAGCCTTTCTCAGAAATGTTTTCATTGAGTAAATTCTGGGTCCACAAGTTGAATAGAAAAACGTCTACATTGAACCATGCCTTCCCAGACGACATCATAGCAACAGCGCCCTCAGATGTCCAGGAAAGCGCTGATGATTTTAAATATTTAAAAGAATGATGCACTCTGCAATACAGTTAACCCAGTAGAGGCGTCAATAGTTTTCATACATTGTAAAAGAGAATAAAGTTGCCAAAAAGTTATTTCCAACAAAAATCGATGGCAACTACACTTTAACCTCTGTTTACGCTGCTGTGGCGTGTTTTCAAAGACGAAGTTGTCGTTTGGGAACCAAGAAAAAGCACACGTTTCACTCCTGTTTGAACGGCATTTGAATAATCAAAACTTACGTTTGTTTGCACAAAAAAGAAATCGTACTCCTGTCATGAGCAGGAAAGGTATGCGTAGGTAGGCCTAACCGAATGCTCACACAACTAAAAACCAATGGCGGAAATCTGTACTGGAGATTGGGATTAAAACTACGGCCCGGCCGTGGAAATTCGTGAACCGGGGAGGGGGGGGTGCTCCACCTCAACTAAACTCTTATATGAATTTACCTTTACAAAATAATTCTCGCTGATAATCAGAATAATTAATTCAAGGACAAGTAAGTACACCCAGAGGGTTGATTTTCAGAAAAAAACCCAATGTGATTGAGCAGGATTTATGACAAGCCCATCCACAAAATGTGGCTTGTTGGATTCGAACCCGAGATGCTGAAGGTGAGAGGAAAGTACCACTGACCCAGTATGACAACATCACACTGACAAATGACTCAAGCAAAACATTAATGAGAAATATTGGCAGTGTTAGATATTTGTTTTTCTTGCCGTAGTTCATGGTTCATTTGGCAAAAGATTTGATCACATTTTCCCAAGAACTGCTGAAAATTGTGGGCAGTTGGTATTTTAAACCGTGTTGCAGGAGAGTTGTAGAGAAAACACTACATTTTCTGGTATCATCTGAAATAACTGGCTGTAATACATGTGTGCACTAACCTACTTTTATATTAAAAAATTGTGTGAGACTTCAGAAAAAAACCGCTTCCATCATCCCTTAAAATAAATTTGGCTGTAATGTATTATCTGTGAGCACCAGCCTTTGTATTAAAAAAATTGTTTACAAGGATTCATTCTAAAATTATAGCCTACATATTCCCCAGGCCTTGTAATAAGCAGGTGCTGTGTAATATAAATGATTTTCGTCTTTGTACTCTCTGCCGAGTTCTTTTCACTGATAATAAGCCTCGATGAAGTGATTAATTGGTCTTGCTTTCAACAATACGGCACGTCATTAGGCCCTGTTATCAACAGTCAAAGTAGTCTCAGTTCGTGTCTGTGGTTGAGACTTCAAGCCTGCTTCATCATCTGGAGAATACTCATCATGTCGCAACGACATGCCCTGCAAAATCAAGTCACAATGTGATGGTGCAATCATTACATAGGCCTACAACATCTCAACTAAAATTTGCTATCGTCTACGAAGCTGTGTAGGGATATGGTAAAAAAAATTTCTATTCCCTCATACATACGAATTTCTCCTCTTGTACGTACGACTTGTATCTCGTACATGCTACTTAGGCCTAAATGCCGTTTACAAATACGTACAAGATACCACTCGCATGTGCTACTTATATGCCGTACACGTACAAAATATCACTCACATGTGCTACTTATATGCCGTATACCTACCGATCATTCGTATGTACAAGATATAAGTCGTAGGTACGAGATATATGTCGCACGTACGACCTGCGACAGCGCAACAGCGTTTGGTGCGACCCGCACTTACAGAATAAAGGATAAAAAATGAATTATCGGTTTGGATTGTGTCTTAGAAATTAGCAAACTCTGCACGGGTCTCCAGACTTACTGTTATGTCTACTGTCGGCGTATGCCAACCTAGACCTACCCCTAGACACAGCATTCAGACACTACCTAATACTGGAGGGGATGGGGAATATTTTGCCTTTCCATCAAAAGTGGTCAAATGTATTAACCGTTGCTATGTGTATATCACATCACAATAGATAAACTCGATGATGGAGAGTTTATGGAGTTTGCAGTAGTAAGGTCATTGGCGCTAGTCTCACCCAGTAAGCATGTGCTATTCTTTCTCATTAGTTCCAGAAGAGCACTGAGTATGGTGGATTTGTCAAAAGCCACGTCAAGGGTAAAACTGCCACTAAAATGCCGTCAACAGACAATGGGGGATACTTACTCGTGAAGCTCCATTTTAATTATCGTTGATCAACCATTTTGTGCGGGAGCCTGACCTTTCTTCCCTCTGTCTTTTCCAGGGTGAATCCAGCTCACCCACAGATATCCTCAAGATGAACCCTTACCTCACCATCGTCATCTTAGTTACAGGAGTGGCCGGGGGTCTGGCCCTGGTCATCGGGGTGATTTTCTTTTGCAAATACTGCGTCAAGAAGCGACGAGCACCCGGCAGGTGAGCAATGGAAAGATAATTTTTTGTTTTGGAAAGCTACGTCCCCCTAGCTGTGTCGATATTTCACGAAAACTTCAAAGGTATCGATCCAGAAGCGTGGGCTGCTTTTGGTGAGAGTTTACGGGAATGAACCCTATTTATAGTCCTTATTGGATATCCCTAAGCACCACAATAAGGGTGATTTGTCACACAGGCTGGTGCTGGAACACATTTAAAAGTGGTAAATACATGCAGTCCAAAAACACATTCTAGATTCGTTAAACCGTTAAACGGGTTAATAGTGAGTGCTAGTGCCTTATTAATGAGTGCGGCGTGTTTGAGTAGCTTCCACGAGTTGACTCAGGTGTGACCACGTGTCCCGACCGTCTTGCTTGTTTGACCACGCAGCACACACACCTGACCATCTTCAGGTCATAAGGGTTGCCTAGTGGAAGCTACTTGAATGTACCCGGTGTTTGCGTGAAACGGAAACGTAGACAACATTGCTTTTGTAGCGCTCACGTAGTTTTTCTTGGCTGTCGGAGATCATTTGAGCCAGTGGCAGAAAAAAATTGTTCTGTGATTGATCTCGTCGCCTGATTCGACTACCCTTTGCAGATTACAAACGAGGCATTTACAGCAAGCTGCAACAGTACAAAGCCTGCAGGTTGTGCATCATAATAGGCACTTATACTGAGTAACAGCTTCACCAGCATTATGTAATATACATTTAGGTAAGGGATGGACGTTGGACGTTGTCCATGGTTCCGAATCCTGAATGGTACACCAGTTACCTTTATCTCAGCTTATTTATTTCCTCAGCTCTCTTTCTCAGCTTTGAAAATTCATTTACTTTCCTATCCAAATTTGTAGCTTATTTGAAGTTTTTTATCACTGAATGAGTCTATTCTCGACCCGTTATCAATTTGAGCCCGGCTCACCAGAGTGGCAACCCTATCACATAATAATATATTACCTGCACCTTTTGAATGATTGCATTTTGCTTTAGAAGCCTCGTACAGTTTAATAACAATGTAAGGTATTTGGATCGGGTGATCTCCTTTTCCCACAATTTGTTGAGGGTACAAGTCGTCTGGAAACTTCAAATATTAGCCACATTGGCTTGGACATAACGCTATACACATGTAGAAGTCTCGAAATCGACAAACAGTATCTGAGGACGACCTGTTATCCCACGAGGCTAAACTTCATAATTCCAAATTTATTCTGTTCGATGTGCGATCCCTTGAGGCGGGGTCTTCGGTAATTAGCGACCTTGCGGTATGTGAATCTACGGTACGTCTGGTGAAAAGGGGGAAAATATGAGTCGCGGATAGCGTCTGGACAAAATTAAGTCCGTTGGGATAAAATTACGGCTGCGAATCGAAGGCTCCCGGGTACCTCTTTGCATCCGTCTTGACTCTTCAGGTTTCACGGCAAGTGGCATTTGTGTCTTTCCTTTAGGGGAAGGAAGCAAATTTGTAATGCAAGCATAGCCCCCAAATAGTTATGAAAAACTTATAGACCGGTGAGAATCTTCCAGGCACTTGTTCCATTATACGTTTGACATGGTTGGATTCGGTTTACAGAACATATTCCTTCAACTCATCACTTTATATCCTAAGGGTTTACACAGTTCTGCACCTCATCTAACGCTGAATGCTTCTGGTGCGTTTTCAAGCTTTCAAAACGTCAAGTCATTTTAGCCTGTTAGACGCATTCTTACCATACGATATAACAAGAAAAATAATGTGATTTGGGTCCATTATAAGTGGTTTGAAAATTAAAACTGAAATAAGAAAATAATAATTCCACCATTTAGCACCAAAATATAGGCCTACTACGCTGAGAAAAAGAGCTTAAAAACTTCAAAATGAATTGGAAGATTCCTCATGAACGCATCATAGAACTAAGTAAATTTGCTTAAACCAAATTTAATGTCGCGCAAAGATACTTGTCTTTTTTCACAAAAATTAAATATAAATATTTTAAAATGTTTTTGGATGCACAGATACTAATGAATGAAATAATTCCTTCCCGTCTGTGGTGGTATCAAGAATGATGGAAAGCGACGACAACAAACATCGACAACAGCACACGACCCTCGTGAAGACCATAAATTCACGCTGACTCGCGTCCGTTGAAGAAAATTCCCATTTCCGCCTATGATCGAGCCTCTTCCCCATGCGCAATTCACACCCATCCATCTACGACGACACATCGTGCAAAGAAAAGAGGAAGAGAATAAAGATAGCAACACCTGCGAACCCACCTGCTCGAGGTGTAAACACACGGGGGATTCAGGCAACATACTCGCGGGAGTTATCTTTTTTGCTGCGACCCCGCGTGGCGGAATTGAAAAAAAAGATGATCTGACTTCCGCCCCGGCTGCGTGTGACTGAGAAAGTCAGACAGACGACACAGGGTATACCAGGCAAGATATGGGACGGAGGGGTAGCCCCTTACCTGTCCAATCCCTATACATTATTGTTACCTAACACATTCCCCTAGAAGTCTTCAAAGAATTCCTGAGATTCCGATGAAACAATGACCAACACAAAGGGGGGGGGTTCTCTCCGTCCCATATCTTGCCTCAAATTACACATTGGTATGGGGAATGGCCGCCTCGTGAAGCACAACGCCTTTACTGCTCCGACCCTCGACTATTGGGGAATGTGAGCGTTTTGCCACCTCCTGTGAACCTCGCCAAGGGTGTTCAAGAAATTGACCTCATTCTGAAGTGCACACACATCATGCCTGGTGTAACACTTCCACGGCACTGCGGTTTGTAACAATGCATATATAGGCAATTTCAGTTCATGTTTAAAAAGTTATGGCACTTCGATGCTAAGAGTGATTTGACATTGCCTTTATCTTCTGATGTTTTATTCCTTTGGGACTCAGTTTCTTAAACCAAAAACTTTGATTTTCTGTATTTCTATAGTCGTTTCGCTACATAGAATTTGCGGGGTTTGAGTCAAGTTTCCAAACTCTTCGGAAGCACTGTTGAACACAATCAGTCTGATAACATTCAGAAACTGTAATTGATTGACCGGAGCCTGCGTCTTGGGAAAGAGAGCACACTTATTACGTTTAGGTATCGAACGGCTTGTTTCATCCAGTTATGACAAAGTGCAGGCGGTATGATGTTCCTTCGATCGGTCTGGCGGTCTGAGGGTAGCGTCGGTACCGGTGGAAGCGGCGATGTATACGCACTCAGCAAAGACACAACTGGAACTCCCTGCCTGCTACAGCTTTTTTTGTACATTGTAGCAACGCCATAAAGGAGAAGGAAAGAACCGCGCATTTAGTTCGAAGAACACGTTTTTAACCAACAATAATTATACTCTACATCAACATAGTATTCTGCTCCCTCTATTACAAAAGGCCGCAGGGATAAAGTTGCCAACTACTGAAACGATGATAACTCTTCTTGCTGCTTTGTTCAATTAAAAGACGCTGTATTACAACTATTTTATTTTGCCATTGTGAAGAGCAAATTGAGCGCTTTTTATAGGAATTCAAACAGGATTGTTGGCATTGTTTTGACGCAGCACTATTTCTTTACGGCAGGGATCCCGCTTTCTTTACACCCGTGCCTCTCGATCTGGACTTGGACAGCCGGACCCGCTCTAATGCGAATCGACGATTGGAATCAAGACCAGAGGAGGTACGCTTACCAGTTGACGACGAGGATGGGTCTCCCGCAAGGTGAGTTATCAGTGAGGGCGCTTTTAGAGTTGACAAGGTCTAATCTATTAATACTCCCTCCGAAAAACCAATAAAAAATACATCTCTATACACATTTGCATAGGATGTACACTGGACAGCAAAAGAAACTTGCCATTTCTGTCAAAGGCTACACGTGCAAATTCATAAAAATTATTTGTACACAGATATGCCGCAATAAAAGCAAGTGATTATCTTTAAAACTAAGAAGAATTTGACATGCACAGCAACTTGGTTACTGAATCAAAAGTCACACTCAGAAGCACCCTACACCAAGCAAAAATGGCCTAATGAATGGACAACATTTTAAACAACCAATGACAAAGTGAACTCCCGTTTTGTCAAAATGATGTGCATGATGAGTGGTCTCTGTATAGGGATGCCATCCTTACTGACTATGCATACACATTATTGAAAAGTAATGATTTTTATTTCGTCCTGTGACACTGACTTCTGCGTAAAACTTAAGGCTCATTCTGTGACTTTTGATTCAGTAACCAAGTTGCAGTGCATGTCAATTTGTTCTTCTTAGGTCACGACACGTCGCTCTTCGCCTTGATTTTGCAATGTATGTATGTACAGTACGTACACAGATACGTACATGTACCAGGTCAGCGAACAGCTGGTGTGAGCTGCTCTGCGACGAATGACCAAGGCTATTGCCTCCACGGCTTATTGGGGTCAACTTATTATAAAATGCGTGCGTGTAATAAGCAGTACATGTACATGTACAGTATACGGTTCCACAGAAGCTTTACTGATAGCAAAGGCCCAACAGTGGCGTAGCTAGGATTTTACAAGTCACGGGGGGCACGAGGGAGGCACCAGCATCTTATGGGGGCACCAGCTTTCAGTGGTGTGGTTTTTGGGGACAAATTTTTGTTCCTAGCCTCGTTCTATGTCAATTCATCCGTTTGTTTTTCAGTGTGTGTGTGGGGGGGCACTGGGGGGATCGAGAATTTGTGGAGGGCACCTGTCGCCCCCGTGGCAATGCCAATGAGGCCCAATCAGAATGGCAGTATGAAGGTGTCATGTTAAGCAAGCACTTGAGACTTTTTCCGTAAACGATACTAGCTCGTCCTCAATTATAATGCATGAATGTTTGTGTGATATTGGGGTATCTAATCCAACGGCATGTCTGCGTCATAGGACAAGCGCAGATGTGCAAGATAGGTCGAACACTCTCCAGTAAGGACTGGTCATTCTCACACATACATTACGTCGATGAACATAGGTATAAATAGGAAAAGCTTGGTCAACAATGGTGACCAATGACGTCTAACGCTTCTATGCCACCGGCTTGTATTGATAGTCACACTCGCACTTGACACTAAGGTTAAGTTAGGCAAGCAAGAAGGAACAATTCGCATTTCTCGACTGCATATGGAATGGCTTATTGACATTTTAACGAGGTCGTGTAATTAAAAGGGAAAAACGCGGTTAGATTGGCCCCATTTTCCTGCCTCTTTAAGAGACACAGCTGTCAACTCGTCAGCCGTCACAATTCCGCCGAATCCGATCGTTTCAAACGATTGGGGGCATCCAGCTCCTCTGTGTTCCTCGAAGAGACATCTCCGAAGAGCCGGATGACAGACAGGGGAGAGATTTGACCGATAGAGTGTTGACGGCGAGTGGGCGTTTTAAGCCTTATCTCCCGGCCCCTCAGAGCCTACAAGCTACCCCTCTGAGGGGTTTCGTGCGCCTGCTCAACCACCCCCGTAGTTCTGATGCCGCCTATCTGCAGCACAGAATAATTGACAACTTTCATCTGCTAGGGCCGAGGAGTTTTTCTAAGCAATAAATGAAGGATATCGATTCTCCGGCACATATACCATCAATGCTTTTTCCATTCAAAAAGTCAGTGTCCCTAACCTCTCCCCGCATCAAGAAACCCACACACTTGAATGTCATTTGCCAAATTCGCCAAATCTTATTGAAGAACAATCAGATTGAGGGAAAAGCAGGCAATGGAATGAAGTCCAGTGTATATGTGAGAGGTTCTTTGTATATCTTTGCAAGATATACAAAGAACCTCTCAGCGTCGTATCCAGCTTTTGGCACAGGGGGGGAATTCAAAAGCGAATGCGGTTTTGGGCGCATTCATCATGATGTTGGGGAGAAAAAAATCAGAAGCCTTACGGCCCAACATGCTTGCTTTAATTTGCTGGTGTTGTTTTCTTTAGGTTTTGGTGCTAATATTTGAGAAATTAATATATCGATTGCTTTCTTTCCCACTCATAAATGAAGTATCCTTGGTAAAAAAAAAATCTGGGGGGGGGGACAAGTTTCCCCCTGCCCCAGCTGGATACGCCACTGGAACCTATGTAAAAAAGATCACAGAAAATGTGAAGTTACCCGGGTAGTTATCTTCATGCAGACCTGAATTCGTGTGTTCGTGTGATAACTAATAATGAGGCCATCGTTAAGATCAGATACAGAATTGTTATACAACGGTCAAAGATAGTGAATTTCTATTGGTCGCGAATTGATCACGTGATATGCTACAAGCGCGCATGTATCATTCACGCGTCGCGCGCACTGACGATGTTGCCGAGCCATTAATGATGGATAACGGTGATCTTTCCCCACAAGTTGATGCGTCGTGTCTACTGCGTTGTAATTTGTGTAATCTTTGATACGAGGGTGGATAGCTGCAGTGGTCCTACGCGCCAGGTATTGTCAGAGATGTGCTCTGTGTGGGAGACAATTAAACACTGTGTCTGTTCGCATGTGCTACTCTCTTCACTCTGACCATGACAGAGACCTGCAAGTTATTAAACTTCTGTTTGTGCACCCAGCTATGCTCGTGGAACACGAGTAAGCTCTGATCACCGTTTCTGCTGCTTTTATATCTGTTTTTATAACACTCATGCTATCTTGTCAATACTTTTCAACGGAATTTTGTGGAAATGATGTCTTGAAATTCAACCAATCGACAAAACCCAAAGTGCTTTATGAATCCTGGGTTTCTATGTAAAGAACGTTTATAAATCCTAGATTTAATATCTAATTTACCGTTCACGTGTTTCAATTTCAATCTTGCATTATATGCACATGTTAAACATGTAAGACAGTTCCAGTTCCATGGTATAACAAAACCATTGTTTCCTACTGTGACGGGGTCCATGGGTTTTGTAAACCATCGGGGTCATATGGCACCCTCGGCTTCGCCTCAAGTGCCATTTGCCCCCTCGGGTGTTCAAAACATCATGGACCCCAACACCGCAGTTAAATGTACAACGTCAGTTTGCACCTTATACCAATTCAAAATAACAATCCAGCTTTAAGTTTAGTCAAGTTTAAGCTTTGAGAACTGGATATGGGCCACTGGCGGCCGAAGGGGGGGGGTTTATGGGGCCAGTGCCCCCCACTTTCTCGAGGGGGGGGGGCTGGCCTCCCACTTTTTGTAGGACCTATAATTGGGTTGGGCTCCTTGCATTGAGCTTTTAATGGCTGATGCCCGATGGTTTCATAACTGCCTCCCCCTTCAAAAATCGTTCCGCCGCCGGTGATCTGGGCCCAATTTCACGGAGCTGCGTAACATTTGACAGAAAAGTCGTGCTAAAGCAGAAAAATTTTCCAACTGTAAGCACTGTTTCATGGCGGTGCTTGGCCTGGTTGTGCTTACGGTTGCATGAGTGTAGAATTTTTTGTTGTTTTGTCACTATGTTAAGCACATTTTCTCTAAGGTAGGCGTGCCTTTTGCTGTGCTTACCAAAGCCAAGTCTGCCACAATGACTGTCAAGCACCGATACAAAGATCACCTTGTTGAAAATAATGGAGTAACTCCCTAACTCTTCACATTCGAACTATTGAAACCCAATCAAAAACTTCCCGAGCACGTTTCCCGTGGCCCTGTTCGCTGTTCTTCGTGGAATACGGGCCCATCTGAGCGGAACAAAATTACCAACGCACACGCAACGCAGTAGTATACGAAGATGTAAAGCGTGTATGTTCTATAACTGAAAGTGGTTTTAATCGTTCGGAGGGTAAAAGGGAAATGGTTATCAAGCGTGGGTGACAGTAATGGGTCCCCTGCGTGATCTTGCATGTTTCAGTAAGAGACAACTCTCGGCCAACAGCATCATACCCAAAGAAAGTATCACCACGAGAACCATTCGAGTGGTTACCAAAAGCCCCTCGGGGACCTATAGCCTTTTGGAGGCAGAGTACTTCGTTAGGACCGCTAAATTTTAATGAATACAATCAAGCGAAATGAGATGGACAGAACTCGGTGGTCCAGAGGGACGTAGAATGAAACTGTAAAGCTGAAAGCCATCGGCGGTTAATTTCCCTTGGAATTAATCACCACAAAGATGGACTTCTTACCGGATACATCGAGAGCAGCATTTCGTTTTGATGTCGCACAAATCAAGCAAAATGAAAGTTTCCTGCACGTGAAAAAAGAATGTTAGATTTGACGGGCACGTTCATTTCAAATGGCGTTTGAAATTTATTTCTCTGATGAAAGATTAAATTCTACGAAAATAAATTTATTTAAACACGAGTATATTAATGAGACAAATACGGAAATCTTACTTAGAACATGCTTAGAGCACGCCTTTTAAATACAGACACGAGTGTAAGACCACTACGTGTACTCCATTTATTCACAGCATTAATCTGTTCTTATAAAAGGTTTCAAGACGTAAGGAGTCAACATTGCAAATCCAATTTTTTTTGCTTCACCCCCAATGGAGATTGATAAACTGACGCAGACCGCAAGACGCATGACAGTTAGAGATTCGTTATAATCTTCTGGGTCATGTAGACAGTGCACTCGAGGACAATTAACTGTATCCAACAGGAGAGGCGTGTGCGTCATATTTTGGCCTGTCGCACAATGACCGCTCCTTGCAGGAACACTATGGTGAATGTGAACTGAATGTGGCATGTCAGGTTACTTGGTTCAAATTTGATGTACGGCAGACCATCAACCAGTAGCTGATTTTTGTGCCTCCTTTTTTTTCTCTTGATATACG